TGGTCCAAATCCCATTCAGGCGCTACGAACAACTATTGACCATGGAGTGCCTTCCATTACAGATGGTGTCAAGAGTGACGTCTGCGCAGGCTATTGCATGGGGAAGATGAGGGCAGATGATTTCCCTCGACACCCGGATAACCTCGTCAAGAGTTCTGGGGTGCTGAAATTGGTGCACACGGGCGTAATGGGCCCAATGAAAACCAAGACGCCTGGTTGCAGCACGTACGTGATGACGTTCATCGACGATTGCTCACGTCACGTCAGTGTATACTTCATGAAGTCAAAATGGGATGAGATGCCGAAAGTCATGACGTACAAGGCAGCAATGAATAGCGCAACGGATGAGAAGATCAAGCGACTCCGTTCGTACAGCGGCGATGAGTACACGGGTCGACAGTTCAAGGACTATCTCAACCGCAGCGCCATCAAGCACGAGACGACGGTGCCGTATACACCTCAGTAGAACGGCCTGGCTGAGCGAATGAACCGGAACCTCGTGGAGATGGTTCGCTGTGTGCTCTACCCCGAGAGCATCGAAAAGAAGTCGTGGGCTGAAGCGGTTACCACAGCAGCGTGAATCATTAATCGGGTCCCCAATTATGTCATTATCACGAATCTGTACGAGGTCGTATATTGGACCAAGCCATATCTCAAGAACATAAAGGTGTCTTGGTGCTCTCTGCTACGTGCACATCTTTAACGAAAAGCGCCATCAGCTTGATCGGAAAACGTTCAAGTGCCTTAGGATACGAAGATGGGGTCGAGGGATACTGTGTCCAGAAGTTTGAGGTGGAAATCGTGCGGACCATGTTCGTCAAAACGTTAAGGGCAGCGCACATAGTAAAGTCTCAAATTATTGGGCACCAGCACCGAAGACGTTCGTGGCCTTTTTGTGTTATCAAGACGAACAAGGCTAAGAACTTCAAAGGTACCGGTGTCGAATGATTCACGCCTTAGTGAATCCACCTTGACCGTTCTGGGAACGTTGATGCTATTGATGCGATCCCAGCTCAACGTAACGCGGCGTAAGCAACCCCATCATGCTGTAGGACTTTATCCATCCTATGATTGCGTAGTCGCGGACACATCACATTGACGAGAAGACGGTTCCGAAAGAGGTAGGGGTAACGGTTCCGAAAGAGGTAGGGGTAACGCCTAAGCATGTGGTGGTATCATACGAGGTCGGGCTGACCTGTAGAAAAAACAAATTAAGAACGCCCGATAGCCTACGACCACCATCTCGCAATCTACGAAGATTTCCGATCAATGCCGACTGCCGAATGTATCTCCAAGTCCTCTATCCACTGTGAGGATATGGACGGTTTCAATGATGCAAATTACATGTGAACAGGAATCGCACTCTGCAAACAAGTCCTGGACGCTGGTGCCAAACCCAAAACATCAGCGACCTATCTGTAGTCGTGGAATATTTAGAAGCACGACAAAACCTGGCAATTCATTCGGCTCAAGGCGCGTATTGTTGCCTAGGATATCGGAAAAGCCTACAAAGAGACAAACGGGCCAGTGGCTTACCTAAACTTAACCCGTACCAACCTAGTGAAATTTGTTGCAGACGGTTTCAAGATCGAGCAATGTGAAGTCGACACAATTTTTCTGTACGACAAACGTAACGTGAAGATCGATATGGAGTTATCCAAAGGACTGCGTGAGCTGCTCATTTTTGTTGAAGAGGACGAAAAGGTCTAGAGTCTGTTGGTGGGGAGCTTGTACAAACTCGAGCTAGCGTCTCGTGTCTGGAACGAAATGATTGACAGCAACTTCGAAGCCATCGAATTCAAGAGAACCGATACTGACCCATCTGT